AAAAGGGAGAGAATTCCAACGTAGCCGAGCTAGCGTACTATGTTGCTGCTGATTCCAAGTGCAAAGTCTGTTTGCAAACAACCGAAATATACTTAGATTATTGCTCATATATTTAACAGAATCATGCCAGAAGGCAAACTGCCATAACAGATAGCGTACATCTGTGCTTGATAATCTGTCTCTGAAAGAAATAGTATACACATGTAGGTAGCTACAAAAGTGCAAAACATTTCGGCACAGTGTTATCCATGACAATTTGTAATTCTGGTACCATGATGTAGGGTCATAATTAATCGAATTGGAAACGCTTGCTCAACTTATCCAGAAAGAATAACTATTCTCCGTTTTTGGATAAGCAACACTCTTCATATCTGCTTTGAATATCAAAGCTTAGCCACCCATGCCAAGACAATATTGATACAGCTAGATTCATGATTATATCATATGCTAGAAGTCTACAAAACGGTTTGCACAATATTATTGTTCACAGTTTTGAAAGACCAAACGCCACTCCACCAAAAGCCATAATGTACAAATCACTGCACCGACAGCTCTCCCACAGATTTCCCGGGCTCTTTAACTCAACAGTTCAGATCAAGATGTTCCTGTAAACCTGTTCTCGGATATCTATAGCAAAGTGCAATAAGTACGGACTCCTCACCACACGAGAAGCTGGAATCTTATTTTATAAGTGCAGGTTGTAAAATTCTTTTGCTAAATCGCTGATAAATACGGAAATTAATGTCGGGACAAGAATAAACTCCTCCAGATACAGGAACGCACCTTACCCACAACCACTGCCGGATACTTAATAGGGCAGCATTTTTAATTTTTGTGTTTCTCATCGTCATATAAAATGTTTATCTTTTAATCAGACGCTGCCACAAGTCCAAAGAACGTGCGAAATTGTAATAAGAATTACTATAAATGAGAATCAAGATCATTATTCAGAAAATGTTGTCTTTATTAAGTTTTGTTTTTTTCCATCGACCGACCGGCCCATGTTCAGAATTTGGTGGCTACGTGAAACAGATTTACAAAATGATGCCCTTACATTCCTGCAAAGAGTATACTGCTTTATCCCACAGACGGTTTCGATTGACGACATTGAAATCGTGGACTGTTTCATTAACGACCTGTTATTGATGATTGAATAGATGTATATATATGCCCAGCGGTGCTTCGTTTAGCAAGAAAGCCGCTGAGTTCTTCAGACTAAACTGCATGTGCATCAAGCCAGAGGGTAAAATGGAAATTAATCAAATCAGAATAGTTTCCCTTAGAATAGATAATTATCAATGATATACCAAAATAAACTGAATTATCTCTGAGGTCGGCATCAGATTTTATGTCACTTTAATACAAATAAATAAACCTGATTCACATGAAGACACATTCAAATACATGACAGGTTAAGCAAAATTACATCAATTAAGGACGAAACGTGTCCTCATTAACCTCAGACTATGTTCCTTTATAAAAACAGTGCGCAGCAATTTGCAAAATGATGTGTGAAGACTACAGTCGAGCACCGTTGTATCGATGTTCATGTACTTAGTAAATTATTTCTTATAATTTTAATTTAAAAAAGAAATATGGTTATTTCATGCTGGAGTCGACAATAAGACTGTTGCTAAGCATTCGGGCATACGAGCATTTCACCCACACGTAGCATAAAGAACTGTCTTCTCAATTCCATATTGTTTAAAGATGTATAAGTGTTTACTGGATCAATAATGGTCTTAACGAGCGAGAAGACGCAGACATTCTTGTCAGAGACAGTAACAAACAAATGGCTGTTTCTCATGTGAGAATACCTCTTATCGACTTTGTCTCCCAGCAGTATTTAACCTTGTATATGTACATATGAATACAGCTGTGCACTCACTAGGTATGAGTTGTGTCGCCATACAATGGTCCCTATAACACAGTCACAACAATACGTCATTATTTATGTGTAATCATCTTGAACGTGGGACTAATCGTACTTTACATCCCCAACAGTCACACTACTGGAGATACTGAATAACTTCGGATATGAGTGAGTGAGGGTTACTGTTTAGCGCAGCTTCTTACAATATTACAGCACTGTCACAATGGGTGCAATAGAAACTTGACTTCGCACATTATACACACTTACACGGAATCGAATTTGGGCCTTCGGAGTGCTGCGTGAACACTTGAACCTCTGGGCTACCGCCCCTTGGCATGACTGGGTTTAAACTTGACTCGACATCTGTGCACAGATGGTATCCCGGATGCAACGTAAAAAAGCTATTCAGGTTACATCAGACCGGATATGAGTGAGTGAGGGTTACTGTTTAGCGCAGCTTCTTACAATATTACAGCACTGTCACAATGGGTGCAATAGAAACTTGACTTCGCACATTATACACACTTACACGGAATCGAATTTGGGCCTTCGGAGTGCTGCGTGAACACTTGAACCTCTGGGCTACCGCCCCTTGGCATGACTGGGTTTAAACTTGACTCGACATCTGTGCACAGATGGTATCCCGGATGCAACGTAAAAAAGCTATTCAGGTTACATCAGACCGGACTATAGCTTTTGAAACGGTGAAATTCCCCCTCTTTCTACTTTGTACATACAATTTGAAACAGCATTTTCAATGGTCATAAAAACAAAAACATAAAATGGTTTTCACTCCATGTGAAATCATGTTCAGACAGACAGTTAGTGAAATGATCCGAACATGACATTAGCTCGTAGCGTGGTACTTTAAACACTTGTCATGTTCGAGAACATGAATCACGTATCCTGGTGTGTCTGGGGTAGAGCAAGCCACCAGAAGTTTAAGACTAAACTCACTCACTCACTCATTCTTGTGAATGGCGTGGACAGGCTGGTTGACACATAGTAGATTGTGTTTCATTGTACAGTGTCGGTGACGTCACAGACTGTGTGTCACTGTGCCTCGGGTTGTGTTATATTATCATATCAATCAGTCACTGGATTGTCTGGTTCAGAATCAGTTATAAACAAATATCCCTTATACAGCTGGCAAATGGATGAGGTTGGCCTTGAACGATAAAGGAATCCACAAGCGACTCAACATCTGGTATTGGTGACAAGTGACGCCGTTATAACATGTTCGTTACGCCATGCACATTCCACAGCGTATATCAGTTACTCCCTACAGCAGGGCACTGCAACCTTCCCTGGTATGGCTGGGAAATGCACCAACTCCCAGACTCAAAGCTGTGCACCTAATAATGGTAAACGTTGACCGCCATAGTGCTGGAATACTCAATGGCTCATTACACCATTCTTTCAGCACCAGAACATGATAACGTCATTCCTTATAATCGGTTCCTCTACGGTGTATATCGTGGAGTCGAACCCACGACAATGTTAAATGGCTTGTTATTTAAAGTGCCTTGGTTAAAACTTACCTCTGTGTTTGATAGTTACGTTAAAACATACAAGAAGCATTCAGCCCCGAATTTTGTACAATAAAATTCAGCGAACGTGAAGTTAACGTTTCAAGTTACATTGGATCACATGTCGAGTCCTCGAGGGGATCCCGGCTAAGAGGCAGCCACCATGACGTTAAGCAACAAACACATTGATTCGTGAGAGAGAGAGAGAGAGAGAGAGAGAGAGAGAGAGAGAGAGAGGTATTTCTTATGTTCACCATTAGTGTAGTTTCAATAGGAGAATGCTGTGTTTCACAATTTCACACAGAGAGAGAGAGAGAGAGAGAGAGAGAGTGAGTGAGTGAGAGAGAGAAAGAGGTATTTCTTATGTTCACCATTAGTGTAGTTTCAATAGGAGAATGCTGTGTTTCACAATTTCACACTGCAAGAAGGTACGAACATATGTAGAGCTTAAAAGCACGTACGTTGTAATCCCTCTTCAGTGATACATTCTTGATAAGCACTTGTTAGTGAGTTCAGAGAGACGCGCCTTGCTTTGGTGACACAAACAGAGGTGTATTGATTCTCTCTATGTTATTTTGTGTTGTCCTCTTGTGTTTTATCTACAGTCATGACGACTAGTCACCTTCTTTTGATCTCAAGGGAGGCAGTTGGAGACGTCTCTGGATGCTGTAGTTATCAATCTTATCAAGTTTCAGATCGTGACTGTTAACTGGAAATTCCCGTTACAAGCGAGATAAATGTGCTCGCATCTCCCTTCAAATCCAGTTTTTGATCAAAATGCGCGCGGAACGATAACCGTTTGACCTACTAGTTTTACAGATATGTCGGGGCATGTCAGCTTAGGCCTCTCATTTTCCAGTCGTGGTTTCGGATTTTTCTCTCTGTTACCGCTGTGATTAAACTAAATCTAAACTTAAAAACGTCAAGAGTTTTTAAAAGGTTAGAATACAATGTTTGTTGGAAGAGTTAAATATAATGACACTACTGATTGACTGAGTTTTGTTTTACGCCGCTTTTAGCAATATTCCATCTACATCACGGTGGGGAACACCAGAAATGGGCTTCACACATTGTACCCATGTGGGGATTCGAACCCGGGTCATCGGCGTGACAAGCGAACGCTTTAACCCCTAGGCTACCCCACTGCTCCAGGGACAGAGGAAGAAGGGTGGGGGAAGGAAGATAGATAGAAAGAGAAGGGTAGGGTGAGCGACGACGGATAGTGGACAATACAGAAAGGAAAAGACGCAACCTTGACGCCTCCGATATCATTTCTAGGCTACACGACCTTCCCTCGTGTTGAAAAAAGTTAAATGATTATACAGAAATAGGCCATGGTCTTTGCGATTGCAATGGCATTGCAATAGAAGATCGTGAATAGCTTTAAACGAACAGAAAAGGAACTCCAGATTTGGGAGGGAATGTACAGTACGTTGAAAACGCCCCACAGCATAACCACAAGGAATACATTGGCAATCGAACGACCTCGCCTTTCCAGTTAGCTCAAGTCGACTGATCGGGAAGACTTGCGAAACTTGATCTTTCTACTTTGTCGGTAGTAATGACGTGCATGGGCTGAAACGTACATCTGGTATTTTTCCAAGGAGACGATATACGATGAGCACAAGATAACAGGTAAGTGAGCTATCTCTCGTCCACACTGAGCTACATCTTACATTAACTTCACACACACAGAGAGAGAGAGAGAGAGAGAGAGAGAGAGAGAGAGAGAGAGAGAGAGAGAGAGAGAGAGAGAGAGAGAGAGAGAGAGAGAGAGAGAGAGAGAGAGAGAGAGAGAGAGAGAGAGAGAGAGAGAGAGAGAGAGAGAGAGGTATTTCTTAAGTTCACCATTAGTGTAATCTCAATAAAAGAATGCTATGTTTCACAATTTCACAGAGAGAGAGAGAGAGAGAGAGAGAGAGAGAGAGTGAGTGAGTGAGAGAGAGAGAGAGGGATTTCTTATGTTCACCATTAGTGTAGTTTCAATAGAAGAATGCTGTATTTCACAATTTCACACTGCAAGAAGGTACCAACACATTTAGAGCTTAAAACGACGTTTGTTGTAATCCCTCTTCAGTGATACATTCTTGATAAGCACTTGTTAGTGAGTTAGGATTCGTTAGTATTAATAGATGATTCCGTGTTTCTTGACTATTTCACTTTCCTCTATATGTCGCTCGGTGTATTTAGAATGCAATAATTTCTTTGATATTTTGGGACGCGGGGTCAAGTGTATTGTATAGGTAATTACCTCCATTCCGTTATGGATCCTGTGCCACGAATCGGTCGTGTCCCTATCCCATACTTGAACATAGATTTACGACAGTCTTAATGCTTGAGTGGTTGTATTCCCAGCCTGGTTTGACGGTAACAACTCTAAACAATCACAGTTGTGTCACAGGTTATTTACAGGAAGACAAAGCAGGTGTACTACACAGGATCGTCGAGTATATTGTTATTATGGGGACTCTTCATGGGGTCGACCGCCTCTTCCCCCCCTTTTAAAAATACCACATAGAAATTGCTGTTTTGCTGTGAGGGGATACAGGGGGTCAGACACCCTGAACATACACCCCCACTCACCCCATATTTGAATATTCCTGGATCAGCCTATGTATAGAGCGCGTATTTACGTAACTAGTATATGCTCAAGGCGCTGGTATTTTTGTCGATCATAGGGTGTCAATCTCAAACGGCACATCGTAATATCAATCTCAACTCCTTGGGGATCATACAACTCTTGCAGCCACTAGGCGCACCGAGCTTTCCCATCCTTACGAGGAGTATAGGCAGAGACATGCCGCACCATAACACAACGTAGAATAATCGTGTCTGTACGCCAAAATGTACAAGGTACAGTATATATAATACTTAGTACACAACAAATACATGCAACAATATTACTCAAATATTGATCAACGCGTTGTCTTTCGCCTTTTGACAAATAACCAGAGCAATATTTTATTTAAAAGGTAAACGTTACACGGCACGAGAAAAACAATTTATTGACGTTCGAAGTATAGACTATAGTTTTGATATCCATGTAAATGCACTCGCTTCCGAGTAATTCAAATCATTTAGCTATATTTACATGTATACCGAGTATGGAAACGTGGTAGAAATGCACACATTACATCAGTGTCCCGACCCATATCGAGGAAGGACTGTCGTGTGACCAAGGGGCTAGCGACACTCTCCTAAATGTTTTGGTGTAACTTCTTTGAGTGGCATCCATTGCAACGAAGAAGCTGTCTATCCATAAAAATGGGTCCTGTTCATGTACAGTCGTACATTTACCATCTGGAATAACTTGGATAGTTCATTAATTTCAAACCTTATTTCAAACGTTAGAAATAAAACAATTTCACAGTACAGTTCTTGAAAGGCATTTACAAATTAGACGAACATGAATACATGACACGTTTTATGCATAACAACCTCTTTTTATTCGTTACAAAGAATTGGCACCGGTGTCAGAATAAAAAGACTTTATCCATAAAACATGTCATGTATTCATTGCACAGTTTCAAACGTTTGGCGGACGTTTGAAAGACAAGAGATGTGACTGGCAACTGTGAGAGACACAAGCCAAATCAGTGAGTTGCGTGTCATTGTATACTCATGCCAATAATGGTTGTCACCCCTTCAGCTTTTTTAATTGGAGAGGGTGTGGGGGGGGTGTGAGGTGTGTGTGGGGAGGGGGGTGACAACCATTATTGGCATGAGTATATTTTCTTTCATATACTGGGTACAATGTGTGAAGCCCATTTCTTGTGTCTCCCGTCGTGATATTGCTGGAATTTGCTAAAAGCGGCGTAAAACCATACTCACTCCCTCACTCTTTCATATACAGACATTAATGCTTAATCAAACCATATGAAATATATTGGAAATATAAGGACATTTAATTTATTTCGTCTCTTAAGGTGTTCGGCATCCACACGGCGTCTGTCAGCTCGTTAACTTTGACAAAAAGATGCTCAATATATTGCTGGTCGACAATATATTTAGTCTCAAGTTAAAGGCGCGAATTTATGAATGTCAACTTCTTTATTTTAGAAACACGACGTTTCCGACACTCCTTCATCGTCATTCATTATCGTGTTCCTCAGATAAAGAAGTTAAATCAATTCTACACGTTAAATTGTAGGCAATATGTGTATCACCTCTAAATGCCGTTCAAAGACACTAGTATAAGCTCGTTTGTAGCTTTATCGCTGTGGCCGTGATGAGTAACTATTGCGACGGAACGTTTAGCTCTATTATTTCAGTGTAAATCAAATATATTTCTAAACACTATTTATCTGAAGGCTTTGTTTGTACTTTGTCTTAGGCCTCAGTATTAGCAATATCAAATGATATAGATAAGACAAATATGTAACAACGCACATATCCTAAAGAACTCGTCACATTCAATTCTGTCGATTTCGTTGTAAATAGTTTGTTTCTATTTCACTAAAACATATTCCCCGTGATCTTACTCTGGTAGAGTTTATGCAATAAGCATGTCAACAAATTTGTGTTTGGAGTACGTTCTATCTTTCTCGACGACAACCTCCGCGCTCGCCATGCTTTGTTCACGATACGAGATGCATCACGATAAATAATTCGAGTTAAATTTGCGTAAATATTTGGATTTCATGGGACACAAACAATGATTACAACTTCCTAAATATCCGGTTCTACATATTTGGTAAACATTTCATTGTCCCATTTCATCTTTTTGTGTCAGATTGACAACATAAAATATTTTCCATTGTTATATACAATAGCTCATTCCCTATTCTCGAAATACGCTAATATGTTCAACCGAAACTAAATATACTGAATGAACGGGTCCATGAGTTAAACAATACGGTCTGAAAATAGTAATCGATACAGGTAAGAGTGTATCACGTATCGTAAAGATAGAGCATGTTGTCAATACATCGATGTATTGGTGAATCGTGACATCTGAACTCGTTACGTCTATAACCCTTCAACGCTAATAGCGGAAGGTCGCGGGTTCGATCCCCGACCGCGTCATACCAAAAGACGTTAAAATATGGTACTTGTTGGTCCCTGCCTGGCGCTCGGCATTAATGGGTACAACAAGGACTGGTCGGCTCGGAGTCAGTATAATGTGTCTGAGTGGGGTATTCATGCTTCACTGCGGCATGGTATCTCAGTGGGCTAGCACTACAAAACCAGCTTAAGTCTGGACTAGCCGTACACATACACGCAGCCGCACGTCATATGAGCAAATATCACGAGCACGACGAAAAACAATTTCACCTCACCTCACCTCAGCAGTATCCGAAGATACTTGTCGTGCAGTATGCAGCAAACTACATATCATATCACTCATCCCCGTTATTTGTGTCAATAGCTGTGCCATAAGTCACCTTTAACATTTATTCCTGCACAGTGTATACCAACTGAGCTATTCACCTCATGCTCACGCAGTATCCACACGCTAACAGATCGTGTGCTTGTAACAGCTGGGTAAAGGTTGTGTTTCGCTCGAACGAAACGTCATATCGATTGCTGTGGATGTTTTGTCGAAAGGATATAGCAATTGTTTACTCCAGTCACCTTGAATTTTAAACGATATTTTCTTTGTCACATTCAGATTTTTTGACGGTTATTGCCAAACAATTTCAATATTTTTTCCACTTTGACAATATATTGTATCGAAAATACACGTTGGAAATTGGAATGGATTAAAAATCCCATAACGTTTATGTAACGCGTGTTATCGTTGAAGTCAATAACTTAATCAATATTCTGATCTCCTTGTCCTGTCAACGATTTATGATTGCGGGTTACAATCCTAAATTTGCACTGGTGATTTTTGTAGGTTTGACAGCACCATGTCATTGTTTCACAGAACACTCACTCACTCACCCTGACTATGAGACGATGGTTTAATATATGCATCAAAATGCAAAGCAGTTTGGGCTTTGAAATGAAATGATTTTGTTAAAATTACACGTAAAATCTGACAGTGAGGAGCCGTTAAAGACGAAATTACACATAGAAATCATGATTAGTGAGGATACAACACAGAATTCCAGATACAACACAGAGATTGTTGAGATTTTTCATAGATCCACCGCAGAGATTCATAGATACACCACAGAGATTGAGATTCATAGATACAACACAGAGATTATTTATATTTTTCATAGATACAGACAGAGATTCATAGATACAGAGATTCATAGATGCACAGAGATTATTGAGATTCATAGATACAACACAGAGATTCATAGATACAACATAGAGATTATTGAGATTCATAGATACAACACAGAGATTCATAGATACAACATAGAGATTATTGAGATTCATAGATACAACACAGAGATTATTGAGATTTGTCATAGATACAACACAGAGATTATTGAGAATCATAGATACAACATAGAGATTCATGGGATATAGAGACAACACAGAGATTATTAAGATTCATAGATACAACACAGAAATTCATAGATGCAACATAGAGATTATTGAGATTCATAGATACAACAGAGATTCATAGATACAACACAGAGATTATTGAGATTTTCATAGATACAACACAGAGATTCATAGATACAACACAGAGATTCATAGATGCTACATAGAGATTATTGAGATTCATAGATACA